CAACAGTCACCACAGGCAGTGCTACTCCACCAGAATGACATATCAATATGTGCCTTTATCAGCTGAAATGTTCGGCTCTGGCGTCTCATTTACAGATACTGTATGATCCACTCTGAGCTGATTTGACAGAAGTAAAAGGATCACTGTTGGTCTACAGAAGGATGTCATTAGAATAATTCACAGAACTGTAGAGCTACACGTTTCAGGATGAAATCCCTCACCTTTGTTTAGGCCCTCCCAAAGTGACAGTTGATCCTGGGTTGCTATCGGTGCATGATTATTTTTTACCTCATGTGGTAAGAGTATGCAAACAGTTCCTGGAGGATGAAGGAATTGATAAGATTGACTGACCTTCACAGTCTCTTGACCTGAGTCTAATAGAGAATATTTGGAAGATCATGTTTAGGACTAGCTGACGCCACCAGGTGCACCTCAGATTGCCTAAGACCTTAATGGGGCTCTAGTTGTTCCATTTTAAGTTACTTCAATGAAATCTAAAGCTATGGTTAGCAATGTTGGTGACGACTACCTTACGTCTCATTTAACTTTAAATATACTTTATTATTGTGGCTTTCAATATAGCATTACAGGTTTAGCAATAATAACCTAACAATTTTTAGCATGTTATTTTTAGCAATACTTACCTCACCAGTTTTGTGAAGACGTGTAGTGAATAATTCCGGCAATGGCCAAACCTGATGAGCGTGCATGCGAAGGAGGAGGGACAGTGATGAATGCATCTGATGTTTTTTTCCATGGCAGGGATTGGTCAGATTTTGTAGAGACTTGCAACTCTAACAGACATCTGATTTTTTTTAATTTTTTTTTTTTTCTGGTTACATAAGGTAATAACCACTATCAGGGTGGAAAGACAATTTCCCTCAATATAACATAATAATAATGTTTCTGAACAGGATAGCAACTTTAGGTTTGACCTAATTGTGTCACAGTGGAGGAGGAGGTTTGGCAGGACCCATATTCATAGACTGGAGCTGAGGTGGTTTCTTGCAAGATTTTAATTAAACAAAAAGTGTAACAGAAGCAAAAATCCAAAACATAAATCTTCAAAATCCAAAAATACTAAAAACCAGGAATACTCACCAGGGGGGCAAAGAAATGATGACAAACCAGCAAATAGTGACTGAACTGGAGGAGACTATATAGGAGAGAGAAACAAAGACCAGGCTAATCAGCAGATTGGGAGCAGGTGTGAACAGAGGCAAGAAAGGAGCTAGGGAAAAGGAGACAAGGAAAACAAGAAATATCTAAATACTCAAATACAATCAAACTAGAACACAAAAATGTAAATAAGACCAATGAAAACTCAGAGATAAAACTTGAACAGAACCAAAACCATGACAAATTGGACTAGACGTCCTTATCAGTTTTTAATTTAGAGTTTTTTAGTAACCTGATTAAACCATTTCCTGGTTAATAATTTTCATCTTTATGAAAAGCTGTGGCATCCTCCTGTTTGCAAATAATAATCCAATCTATAATAGTAATGCTCCTCACATGATTGTTTTACAGTCGTAAAACAATGTTTTAAGGTATTTCAAATGTTTTTGTTGGTTTGTTTTTGACATTTTGGGGACATTCATATAGTTGGTGAAAAAAGCTTTGTCCTTTCTGGAGACTGGTTAGGCGACGCCAGAACCTAGATATGCTTCTCGCAGAGTCACACCTTGGTTATCCTGTCTGTGTGCCGAGGGTCATTGCCATGTTGGAAGACCCAGCCTCAACCCATCCTCAATGGTATAACTGAGGGAAGGAGGTTGTGCCCCTAAAGCTCGCAATACAAGGCCCCGGTCATCCTCTCCTTAATACAGTGCAGTCGCCCTGTCCCATGTGCAGAAAAACACCCCCAAAGCATGATGCTACCACCCCTATGCTTCACAGTAGGGATGGTGTTTTTGAGATGGTATTTATTCTTCTTCCTCAAAACACAGTGGAATTATGACCAAAAAGTTCTATTTTGGTCTCATCTGACCACATGACTTTCTCCCATGACTCCTCTGTATCATCCAAATGGTTATTGGCAAACTTAAGACGGGCCTTGACATGCGCTGGTTTAAACAGGGGAACCTTCCATGCCATGCAGGATTTCAAACCATGATGTCTTTGTGTATTACCAAGAGTAACCTTCGAAACAGCTGTCCCAGCTCTTTTCAGGTCATTGACCGGGTCCTACCATTTTATTCTGGGCTGAACTGTAACCTTTCTTAGGATCATTGAGCAGTGATGGGAGTAACGGCGTTGAAAGTAAAAGCGTTACTAAGGCCATTACCTTTTTTAGTAACGAGTAATCTAGCAAATTACTTTGACTGTAGCTATAACGCAGTTACCATTGCCGACACCCCGTTACTGCACGTTACTCAGATCGCACAATTAATGTATAGTGAGATGTATAGAGATGTATAATGAGATTCCGTCTGTCGTTGGGTAGGTGCATGTTTCTGATGGCGGGTGTTAATGTACAGCACAAACAGAGAGATGGAGAGTGAAGAGGACTCCAGCAGCAAAACAGTGTTTTCCCGAAGGAAATACCGGTGTTACGTCGAGCTGCGTTTCCACATACTGTTTCCCCTGCAACTCCGCACAGCGCAGGCGGAACGATTCACCGCGCAAGCGACAGGAAACACGCATGCTCGCTAAAGGCGCGTAACAGCCACCCTGTGCTCGCGCCACAGGGGAAGTATGGAGAGCGTAAACGATCAAATGTTAGCCTACATGGAGAAAGGGAGGAATCTGGATGGATGGATGGAAGGATGGATGGATGGATGGATGGATGGATGGATGGATGGATGGATGGATGGATGGATGGATGGATGGATAGATAGATAGATAGATAGAT